AAAAACGCCGTACACGTATCTGCACGGGACGCGCCAATGAGTGGACGCACCCGTGCTGTTGGCGAGTAGAATTAACCGATCTCCACGCATCGAAAACGAAGTCATACACGTATCAGTACGGGACGCGCCAATGAGTGGAAGCACCCGTGCTCATATGTGTTGTCAGTTTCAGCAAGGGACGCGCCAATGAGTGGAAGCACCCGTGCTGCAAATGTGTTGTCAGTTTCAGCGAGGGACGCGCCAATGAGTGGAAGCACCCGCGCTGTTGGCAAGTGGAGTTCACCGTATCCAACGCATCGAAAAAAAAAAAAACACGTATCAGCACGGGACGCGCCAATGAGTGGAAGCACCCGTGCTGCATATGTGTTGTCAGTTTCAGCGAGGGACGCGCCAATGAGTGGAAGCACCCGCGCTGTTGGCAAGTGGAGTTCACCGTATCCAACGCATCGAAAAAAAAAAAAACACGTATCAGCACGGGACGCGCCAATGAGTGGAAGCACCCGTGCCGATGGCGAACCGGGGTTCACCGAATCCAAGAAAATATACATATAAAAAAAAAAGAAGAGAAACCATCGCTAGTGTTCCAAAGAGAGAAATATTCGGGATTGGTCGACGTCCGGTGACCGTAGCGTCAGCAGCAATAATCACTCCATTCAATCCACAGGCGTCGAGAACGAACTAACGCGAGCTCGCGATATAACAACGCGTCGTTCTGGGCCCGACGAAAACCCACGTCAGATAGTTTCGCCCGAAGATAGGATTTGTAGACCATTCTAACTGCAGATCCAGGCGCGCGATCGACTACGCCCACGATGAAGAGGAAAAGAAGTGTTCCCGCAACGCCGCCCTGACGCTCGCCCGCCGCCTGCCGCCGGTCCGCTGCTTATACGACTCCAACCGCGACCAGATGCCGACACGGGCCTCCACGCGGAGCGGCAGGGCAGCGGCTGGGCAAGCAGGGCGAGGTCGGGCGGCGACACCTTCGACACCACGCACGAGGAGGTCTACCGCGCGATCGGTGGCGAGCTCGACGGCTCGCCCCTCGACGCGCAGCGGATCACGTACTCCCGCGAGGCGTCGAGCGGTATCCTCCTCGCGAGCGCCAGGGACAGGCACCCGCGGCGACCCCCCCGCTGATGAGACTGAGCTCGCTTCTCTCCGCGGGCTGGTGGACGGCCTGAGGGAGGAGCTGCAGCGGAAGCGCGATGAGGCTGCCGGCGATCGCCAGCAGCTTCAAGCAACGATCGACGACCTGATCGCCACCCAAGCAGCAGGACCTGGCCTTCCGGGGGGGGGTGCAACTGGTGGGCACAACCGCCCCACCATCGGCCTCTCGGGCCCCCGCTACACCCAGCGCCGAGGCGGCTAAGGCTACGGCAAAGGATAGAGCGCGGATGTGGGGGGACCTCCGCCGGGTAAAAGCGTGGCTCATCCTGGGGCGGCCTCCGGCAAGTTTCAAAACTGTCGCAGATGGAGTGGCAATCCTTGCTTCGCAAAGGCGTCCTGGTGACAGAGAAAGTGGCGGCATCGCTCGACACGCTCGTGGTTACTGCTTCGCCTTCAACTCGTCGTCCGGTTGCCATGATCGTAACTGCCCACACATCCACGCCCAGAACCCTTCCCACGCTAGGCGCGGAGCGTCCGAAACTCCGGCAACCGGCGCGCGCGGCGTTGGCCACGGCAACGGGGGAGGGCGCGGAGGAGAGGCGCGCGCCGCTGGCGAGGGCGGCGCGAGACCCAAGGCCGCTGGCTTCTTCACCCACGGGAAAGACAAATAGGGGTGCGGGCTCTCCCGCGTAGCGGGGGGGCCTACCTCGGATGGCAGCGCACCTGCCGCTAAATCGAACGGCAGCACGCCGGTCTACACGAGGTTGGCTCCAGGGCTATCAGCAGGTTCAGGACCTGGGACAGGCAGGACGGGACTTTGTTACCGACGTCTTGGCATGCAGCTTCGTCGAGCACTCAGTTGCGTCTTCGTCTAGAAGGACTTACACGTCAGGCTTCAACTCTTGGTGCACGTTTCGCAGGCTGACGGAGAAGCCCAAGTTCCTAGGGCAACGTGCCGGGGACCTTCATGTGTGGGAGTTGATAGACTTCGTAGCCTGGTGTTTCGAGTCTGAGGGTAATCTAGCGAGTACAATATCCGGAAAACTCACGGCTGTACAACATTTTCATAGGCTGGAAGCTTCTGTCGAGCTAGACTTGTCGTCTCCGATGTTGAAATGTGCGCTAAGGGGGATTGCGAGGAACCACGTGGCTGTGGGGACGGTACGCCGTGTGCGCCTGCCTGTGTCTTGGCGTATGCTGCTGGACGGGGAAAGCGCAAGCCAGAACTGGGGGGAAGGGGGCAGAGTGATGTGGCTGTGTCTGTGCTTGTCCTATCTCTTTATCACACGGTCTGATGAGGTGTTCGCGAATGATGCGGGCAGGGTGCATGAGGCACACTGTCTTACGAGGGCGGACGTAGCATTGTTTGCTGGCGAGACGCAATTAGTCTTTAGTCACTATCGTAGAGCAGACCGTGTCGAAATGAGGTTTAGAGGGCACAAGGCCGATCAAGAGCAGAAAGGAAACATACGGGTTCGTACGCGAGACGAAGTCACCGGACCGCAGTCAGGTGTGAGAGCACGCGGCGGCGCGGTGGCTCTTGTGGTGGAGCTGTTATCGTGTCATGCGACGTTCCCTGACTCCGCACCGTTGGCTTCGTACCGCAGTGGAAGAGCAGTGAGAGTAGTGAGGTATACTGCTGCCCTCCGTGCACTCAGAGAAGTGGTAGCGAAGTCGGGGCGTAACCCCCAGGAGTACGCGTTGCACTCGTTGCGAATTGGAGGCGCGACGGCTCTTGCATCGGGCGGAGACATCGCAGAACGAGTGATTCAGAGAGAAGGGAAGTGGAGGTCGGATGCATACAAGCCGTACGCGCTAAACAATGTAGAGGATTCGCGGCGAGTGTCACGGAAACTTACAGACGGCAGTAGGATCGTATCGAGACAGCCGGGGGAGGGGACCGTCTGGGGGAACGGATAGTTGAGTTATTCGGTAGTCGTCCAGAAACTGACCTCGATGTGGGTGTTGTAGAATGGTGTGTACCATTTGAGGACTTGGTCAGTTTTGGGACTCCTGCGTTTGCAGTCGTAGTCCCCCGGCTAGTATTTGTGGGGAGAGAGATGGATTTGTAAGAGTTGACGCCGGCCTTTGCAGCTAACGCGGCCGGAGAGACGATGAGCGTTTCGTGCGTCTCTCTCCCCAACACGTAGCCTAGAAACCGAAGAAATAATGAAGCAATTCGAAAGAAAACAAAATAAAAGGAAGGTTTGTTCGTCGAAGCAGATAGAATAAAGCTGGTGTTTATTTTGTAACAGTCGAATTAGAATTTGGCTTCATTTTCTACCGGAAACCCAGGGTCACGGTGTTTGGAATTATTAGTCTATAGTTGGGGGTGTCATTCCGTGATCGAGTCCACGCAGGGGCTGTAGCAAAGTCGGGTAACGTGTGACAGCTACAGAGCGCGTGAAGCAACGGAAGGACAGCAGCAGCCGCCTAACGCAGTAGCGGCGGCAGTTTAGAAAATCCCGCCCTCCCATCCCTTTTCTTTCGAAGGTGGGGGCATAAGTTCGGGAATATTCGGTATCTAGTCAGGTGTTGTAGAATGGTGTGTACCATTTGAGGACTTGGTCAGTTTTGGGACTCCTGCGTTTGCAGTCGTAGTCCCCCGGCTAGTATTTGTGGGGAGAGAGATGGATTTGTAAGAGTTGACGCCGGCCTTTGCAGCTAACGCGGCCGGAGAGACGATGAGCGTTTCGTGCGTCTCTCTCCCCAACACGTAGCCTAGAAACCGAAGAAATAATGAAGCAATTCGAAAGAAAACAAAATAAACGCGAAGCCGATTGGGTTGCTCAACCCTGTACCCTGCGCACAGTACCCGAGCCTCAATACTGAGCAGGTTATTCTGTGATCACCGACTATAAGCCTGCAAGCGCACACACACACTGAGACACCTAGGGAGAACGGTTGTTCCCATAGGTAGGCGCAAGATAGCCCATGGACATTATGCCGGTCAATTCGTATCTAAATGTTCCATGTCTTCACCGCTATCTACGTTTCGTGCCGGCGAGTATCCCCTTCCAATATCACAGGAAATCCACGGCATGGTTTGAAACCCTCTTGCGGCAGAAATCACTTCAGCCGTGACCGTCGCACCTCCGAATCGGCGTTAGCCTTCCTCATCTTGGCCAGCTCCTCCTCCCTCCACGAGACGGCTTGCCTAGTCTCCGTGAGTTCTTCTTTGAGCAGCGTGGCGGCAGCCTCAGCAGCCTCTAGCCGCTCCGACACCTTCCGTTAACACAATCGAGAGCGAAAGCGATGGGAACATCATCGAAGTAAGGACACCAAGTGAAACAAGAACTTGCGTGGGTGTTCAAACAGTGACCACACGTATGCGTAAACCAACTCATATTGCTGTTGTCACCGTTGCTTGTGTTCATGATATTCATATCATAGCGGCTGCTCCAATCTTCAACACATCGATGTGGGAGCACAAGCACTGGACCACCGTGAAATACTAAGCTGCAGTGGTCTAAAAGACCAACACAGCATAAAACTTGTATCTTGAGTTCATTGACCTTCCAGTTTAACGAGCGGCCCAATGTGACGGAAAATCACATAAGACAATTTTGTTGTCGTTGTTGTTGTTGTTGTTGTTGTTGTTGTTGTTGTTGTTGTTGTTGTCTTCACATTAAAACCGTTCCGGTCTCCACTCAGTACCTTCTAATGGCCGTAATAGAGTGTAAAAAGCTCAACGTCCTTATTAAAAAAAGCCTTTCTTCTGGTACTGTCTGGCACCAGGCCGCTAATGAGTCGAACGGCTCAATTATCGAGAACGCACCCCGGAGTCAGAAGTTACCTGTTCCATCTCCTTTGATCTGTTTCTGAGCGCGGTCAAGTCCCGCTGCGTTTCTGTCATGAGGGCGGCCGCCTCCGCTAGTTCCTGATCGCGCTGCCGTAGGCGAGAAGAAAGCCCTTCCGAGTGTTCCTGCGAAGTAGTCGCCATGTTGGAGTTTGATACGCCGGCACCACAACAAACGAAAACGCTAGACACAGCAGTCAACAAACGCGCAACTGACTACTGAACCTCATGGAAAATGCGAAACTCGGCCATCTTCAGTCTAAAGAAAAAAGTAACAAGACCAGCGCCTCCGTTAGTAAGAGTATCTAAAAACAGATCGAGAACAAATCTCCCTTACACCTCATCAGCCCACTATAAAATTAGCCACGAGATAGGTGATGAAGACAAATGCATTAACCCATTTGGAACGGAAGCAGCGTGCCACGCATGACGATGTCCAACAACCCCTTGCACGATCCTGCTCACCTCTAGCCGGTTGAGCTCTCGCCTGAGCTCCTTCATTCCTCGGGATGCCGCCTCCACCCCGGCCCTTTCGAAACAACGACAAAACCAACAAATCATGCAACAAGTAACGATCATCCAGATGCCTTGGTAAAGACCAGGGGTCAGACGTGCGGTAAAACCCAGCTGGCGTCATACCGAAAATGCGTCAATGGTAACCGCGTCAAAATGTCAGCCGAAGTAAATAAAAAAAGGTCGGAAAAAGCCCGCGAGCGCCGGCGCCTGCGCGTGAAAGCAAAACACCGCTCGCTAAAAGCCGCCCGGTTACGATACCGCCAGGCAAACCCACCACCAGAGTAACATGAACAACAAACATGCAATGAAATCTGCCCACGGACCGAATTGGAACCACCACTACCACCTGTGATTCACTCTTCCCATGCCAAATTTCACTCTTGCCCTACCACCTGTACTTCCACTGCCCTACCTGATTCATTATTTCCCATGTCAAACTTCAGTCTTGCCCTACCACCTGTATTTCACTCTTTGCCATGCCACATTTCACCCTTGCCCTCACGCCTGTCTCGCGACCTTCGTGGTTTCCCTGTCCGAAATTGCTTGCTAGCCTTCCGGTAGGGGACACTGCACGCGTAGCCCGGACCCTCGCCGCCATCCTAACACAGCCCTTGGCCCGGCTACCATGCCTTGGTAAGAGAGCGGACGAGACTGGCCGGCCTGACAGTACTCACCGCCCTTCGGAGTGCCGCCTTTGCAGCTCTTGCGCCCTGGAGTCACTCCTCTGCATCCCCTCCTTGGCGTCTTCTAGCTCCTCCAACACCTGGTCCACCCGCTCCCTGGCGAGACATGCCTCTGAGGAAACCTGCAGGATGAGCAACGACATTCACATATTCTCTCTGCTCAAGATCACACAAGGAAACCGCCGTTAATGCTTGGACGACATCGCTTTCCCAGCAGGAAAAAGATGTTGGACGAAGGGAAAAGAGTTCACGATCACGAGCAAAACTCTCAATGCTCCACGCAATTTTTCTTCGTGCGCATAGACAAACGAAAAGCAATATTGTTATAAAACAGTCTTCAAATCAACACCAACAAAAACTGGCTATCCTTAAGGCTGACACGGACAAGCCGAGCCACGGGAGCCCTGTAATGGTTCTCCATCCGAAAAAAGTGTACGGAGAAAACCCACGAAACGTTTTTCGAGCGGTACGAACATGACGGAAATTCGCCTCCTGTGAAATACTCGGGTACTCCGTGTCCTGCTGCATTGGCTGGAACAATCCACCCTACCGTGTTGATCCATTCCGTCAATCACAGCGCTTTACCTTAAACGTCCGGTGACAAGGCCGGAAGAAAATGATTCATTCACATCTGACGCCGCCATCCATGGTTGTGGCAGGCTACATTGAATTGAACACAGTGCGTTCGGCAAAAATCTCAGTACAAACTACGCAAATGCCAATGCGAAACGCGTGTATATGTCTTCGCAAGTCCAACAAGCGTACCTAGGGTTAGGGCTAGGGTTAGGGTTAGGGTTACCTGTTCCAGTTTGTCCTCGGCCTCGCCCTGTGCTCGTTCCGCCTCCAACAGCCTTCCCTCAAGGCGCTCGATCTGTCCGTCCCTCTCCTCTGCCTTAGCCCTCCATTCCTCCTCAGCAAGCTCCCGAGCAGCCGCGGCCTGTTCCTTGTCTGAAGTGCATACAGGTCAGGGGAGAGCAGGATACGTTGGGGAGACCGGGAAAATGCACGAGCACAAGATCAACTTGACCTCGTCGCACCTACCTGCCACCCGTACGCCGCTCGCTACTCGCTACACCTCTTGCGTTGACCCTCTTTATAATTCCGCAGAAAGCGAGAAGGAGACGGCCCTGCTTCCCGAACCACCACCAATCACGCCGCACACCCAAACTTTCCGGAACAAGAACTCCTTTGCATAACGCAGGAATGTTGGAAAAAATCAATGTCTTGCATGATGTATTATATCATGGGGAAAAATAGCATCTGTTGTAGAATACACCCGAGCTCATCAATACCTTTCAGCATGGCCGTGAGCTCTCTCTCCATGTCGACCCCGAGCGTGTGCAGCTCGCTCGTCCTCGCCCTGCTGACGGATAACGCCTCTTGCTCTCGCTGCAACTCCGCTGCGATGGCGGCGGCTTCTTCCCGTGCGAGTTCAAGATCCTTCTTGGTGTCTTCCAAGCCTTGGTTGGCTTGGACGAGGCGTGCCTCCCTGTCTTGCACGAGTGTTGCAGATGCGTCCTTGCTCTTGCTCAGGGCTTCGTCCCACGAGCGCTAAGGAGCACGATTCGTCCGGTTGAGTGACATTCGATCGTAAAACGGGAAACAGAGAGACGGAGAGACGGAGACAGAGAGAAAGAGAGACAGAGAGAAGAGAGCGCGCGCGAGACAGACAGACAGACAGACAGACAAGGGTAGAGAGCAGCAGATGGAGGCGAGAAGAAACAGTTGAAGATGGCGAAACCACGCCTCATGTCATTCGTTTTGAAGGGTAGACTGGAGAACACTCGTCTAAGATCCGGCCCACCAACTCGCTGCCAAAGCTTGCATGCCTACATACCTCAGCATGCTGCAGCTGCTGCGCTTTCTCCGACACCCTCTTCCTCGCCTCTTCCAGCAGCCTTCCGAGGTTTTCGAGCTGCTCCTCCAGGGAGTCCGTCTTAGCAGACAGCTGTCCTACGGCTTCGAGGGCTTGGTCTCTCTCCACCTCCACAGCCGCAACCCTAGACCTGAGACAACGTTCGAAATGCAGGCACAACAGAAAACGAACAAAGAAACGCCACACGCAGGGGAGGAAACGTAAAACAAAACAAGGGACTGCAGCGTGTTGTTGAAGCCATCCGAACATCGTATCAATAACCAACCAACGCGCAATGCAAACCCGATTGGACGCGTTCTTTGGTGATGATTGAGTGTAGTCAACATCTGGCTTTAACCTTGCCCCTGTGACACCCAGTCAGGACCGAGCCCACAAAATGGGTCCCCCAATCGGAAGTTTTCAAGTGGTTGCGTAAATTTCCAACCGGAACAAAGCGAGCGTTCGAATGAACTCCCACAAACCTTGCTCCTTGTACAGTGCAGCTCAGCACACAGACTAAGAGAAACAAGAAATACAAAAACAACTTTCAAGATCTCCTGGCACTCAACACTCTTTGCGCAGAGCAACACGGCATGTTCGAACTTCCACGCCGAGGTTAACGCTGGTACATACACCAAACCAGGGCGAGCCACAGGACATGACAACAAAAATGCTCGAACAATCGGCGTGCGCTCGCTCTGAACTACACCCGTCGTCGAGCCTGGCTGCGTGGGCTTCTCCTCCTTCGAATAGCCGACAACGACATTTACCGCCTGCTCAAGACACGCGTCCGCCACAGCAGACGGCTAAACACTCGTGAATCCAGGACACCAAACGGCAACAAAAAAGGTAGCTACAGTATCGGCAACACTGCTACAACAAAAAAATCGTTGCCTGGCTTTGTCAAGCTGCTCTTGGATGGCCGACAGCTTCGCGTCCGCCGCGCTAGCCCTCTCCTCCGCGCGCCTCGTGGTCCCCTCCAACTCCCCCTTCTGCTCTAGGAACGATGAGGTCAGTCGCTGCGACTGCTGCAGGATGTCGTCTTTTGCTTGATACAGCTCGGCCTCGTCTCTCTCGAGTGCCTATTAATAGCCGAAAAAAATCGGCACGAATAGGACAAAAACAGGTCAAGCTGAAACAAGACAAGATGCGTCTACAAGACGAAATACGACCGAGCAAAGGCGAACTAAGACAAGCGAAGACTGCGACGCGCAAGAATGGAATAGCCCTTCGGGAAGGTGGCTGTTACTATGATCGACAATCACCTGTTCACATGTTGCAGGGTTCCCTAGACCTGCGATGGCCTCGGGGGGAAAATCGATGTTGCAAACGCGGTGGCGAATACGATCTGCATTACCTCCGTAAAATTAAGTGTGACTACAACAGTGTATTGGCACGACCCTCTAGGGAGGAGACAACCACGAGAATAGCGACAAACGTGAGATAGAGACGTGATGTGTGCTAGCTGCTTCACAACGATTGAGGCAGAACCGGAAAAGGTACGGGCGATGGCGCCATGCAGACCTACATATAAAACCCAAAAAGTGAATGTTCACGCGATGACGTCATGCAAACCTCTCCAGGCTCAAAAACCCTAAAAAGGTGAACGCAATGACGTCATGCAAACTTATCCAAGCTTCGAACCCAAAAAAAGGGTACACACGACGACGTCATGCAATACCTCTCGACTTTTTTCCAGCTTGTCCGCCTCTGCTGCCGCCTCCCTCTTCCCCCTCTGCAGCAGCTCCTTCTCCTCGTCGAGATCTCGCTTGCTCGACGCCAGCACGCCCTGCCTAGACTCGACCTGATAATGTATGTACATGTAGGGCATCGCGCGCACGACGCGTTCGATCAGGGCATATTTTTCAATGTTCATGGTCATGAGGTTAATGCGCTGCCAACCAGAGGTTTTGTGATGACACACCTGATTTCCGAATGGCACACTCGGAGATGCGGGCTTCTTGATGGCCTACGATCTACGCGACACACAACGAAAGAGGTACGCGTGAAGTATAGATTTCTAGAGCATCAGAACCTCAAGAGACAAAAGAAGAGACTCACGAGGGGAAACGTCCCGAGCTGACCGGTGTCATCAAAGGAAGTGCAGCCGTGCCACGATGTAGAGAAAATGCCACAAAGGGCCAACGCCACCAAAGACCTACCATCGAACCTACGAAACGCACGGGCGTAACGGAACATGCACCAGGCTCCTTTGCTAACCTGCGTAAAGGAATGTCGCCACACCACACCACACCATACCGTACCGTACCGTACCTGGGACAGGGCCTCCGAAAGCTGCGATCTCATCTTCTCCACCTCCGCCCTTGATTTGGACAGCTCGCTCCTGCTCCGGGAAAAAAATACGGAAACCGCATAATGGGAAACATGGGGAGGTACCTCATCACTACCGAAAGATCAAACTGGAAACGGGATGGGGAATGAAGCTTGTGGACAAAACGGGTCCACGGAGTGTAAAACGGAAATATGGAATAGCAACTGGAAATCGAGAATGAGACTAGAATAGTCGACGGAACAAAAAATCGTTAACGATATGGAATTGCAAATGGAAAACCGAAAAGCTGCACGGGTATCCGGAGAGAGGCCGTTGAGAAGATGGGACATACTCGGAAGATGACGAAGAGGACCTTCCGTTGACCCACCTGGTTGCATCGGATTTCCTTTCTCCCTCCTTCAAGGCGGATTCGGCCGCCTTCGCCTTGAGGAGGAGCGACCTCGCATCTTCCTTCTGCTGCTCGAGGCCGGCTTCCTGTGGTCCGCCGGTGCAGACAGACAGCCGTGAGGTACGCACGCCATCGAGCCAACCGGCGAAGGGAAACAAGTGAGCGTGTGCATGATACGTCCCGTCCAAATCCTAAAAAACAGAAAACTCAAACTGAAAATGCCAACAACCAAAATATATGGACACCTCCTTCAACGGCACCGCAGCATTCCCACATCAACTACCCAAAAAAAAACTCCCCTCGAAATTAACGCTACCGATGTCACAGAAATTCGCCTCCAGTCTCGTGTGTGCGCCGACTTCTACCTCTGGCTAAGATCCCCACAATGGGCATAGGTAGGCAATGGCGTCATTTCAAGCATGCAACCATTTGATTGCCCCGAGCGCCCGGGAGGTCAGCTGCTAGCAACATGTAGGAGGGTGAACATGGCGAGTTACGCAAACATGCAACGTGCCTCCGCCTATCTTTGGAACGAACCCGTTTTTGGTCTGCAGGCTCCCGTCTCTGCGCATCATCTCGTCAACCGCTCTGTCTCCGCGAGGAGCTGTCTGGCTCACACATTTTATCACGCTCGATTACCGACGCTTCCAAGCGTTGCCCCAACCATTTTTCGTCCCCCCCAAGCATGTTTTCTCTAGGGGAAGGCGGAGGTGCCGACGGAATGTCTTACTCTACTCTACAATTAAGAGGTTAAAGTGTTTCATGAATCCTTCCGTCCTTCGAGACAGACAGGCAGCCACGCATCTGCGAAACACGTGCCTGGCGCTACACAGGTCCTCAAAACATAATACATAAGAGGCAGTCTCAACATCTGCGACATCTACGACATACCGTGTCTGGCGCTATAAAGGTCCTCGAAGTTGCTCTACAACAGAGGCAGTCACATCTACGACATCTACGACATAACGTGCCTGTCGCTGCAGGTCCTCGAAGTTGCTCTCGACGGCCTTCTTGAGCCTCTCCAGCTCCCTCCTGGCGTTGGCCCCGTCCCTCGTGCACCTGTCCGCCGCCCTCTGCTTCTCATCCGCCTCCTCCAACCTCCGGTGTGCTTCTTCTTCCCACCCGGATACCTCCGCCTTCCGTCACCATCGACGGACACAAACAAACACGCTGGTATCACATGGCGTGACGTCATAGACCATAAATAGGAGCATACACGAAGGAAGCGAGGTGGCGATACGCAAACCCGACCAGATTCGGTGCTGTTTTGTGTTGACGCGGAAAAAATAGAGCCTTGGAACTAGAAATAGACATACACACGAAATCCAGCAGCCTTCCATCCACCCAGGCATTCCTGGAAGAAACACACACTGGGCGCCAAAAAAATAAAGATTTCAGAGAAATTGAGAAAACGGTAGTGCTATACACACCCAAATCAACGGCAAGAAAAACAAAACATCACCATCAACACCAACACCGACAAAAACCACAACACCAACACCAACAACTGGTTTTGCTCGCGTAACCCAGCCTAAAACAGCGCAGAAAACACACGCCCAAAGATTTGGCTGAAAACATGCATGCCTGAAACCGTCCAAGTAGGGGAGTAGTCATATGCATGTACGAGCACACAGTGTTCTTCCGAGACACAACAACAAACCATGGTACAGAACAAAATGCAGAGTACCCTATTCACAAGAGATCTGTGTGTGTAGGTTTGAAGGAAGCACGCCTGTTGGGGGAAGCACCAACAAAGGCACCCCTCTTGTCACAATCAAATACCTTTCTCCTGGCGAGGTCGGCGCGTTGGCCCTCCAGCGCCTTCTCCAGCAATGCCAGCCTATCTCGAACCCCCTCGAGCTCCGAGGCCCTCGCCTCCCGGCCCGCCTCTAGCTCCGCGAGCTCGGCCTCCCTCCCCGCTACCGCCTTCTCCCTCTCCTCCAAATTCCCCTTCGCCTCCCTTGCGCAGCGCTCTTCGCCCTCCAGAGCTTCGGAACGTTCCCGGAAATTTCTCTCCTGGGAGAGCCTGTCGGCTTCTAGCTTGGAGGTGCTTTCGGAGGCCTCGTTGGCCTGGCCCTTGAGAACTTCCTCCCACTGGGATAAGCCCTCCTCCCGAGCCTAGAGAACAATTTTTCGCGGGTCATGTAGGATCGGTTTTCCTATAAGGTAAGCGTTGGTTTAGGAACAGACAACAGAGAAAGATATCCTGGAAAGACTTCCCCGTGCATGGGGACTATTATTTCCAAGGATATGTGCCTCAATGTTCATTCCAGCTGGTAGAAACAACACAAGCCAGCGAGCGGGCTTGACAACACTTCCATATTATTTTTGGCATTATGGTTGCCAACGCTTATTGCTGAACAAGTTGTGAATGGCACAACGTGTCAGCCTGTGTGCTTCCATCTCAAAATAATCACTCCTAACTTGCCTTGAAAAGCATAATCCGACTGGAAAGGGAGGGCGTGACGTGACATCAAGGAAACAACGCTACGGTACACCCGCTACCACTACCCCTACCAATCACGCTTGCCAAGCCATTTCAGTGTTTAATGAAGGCAATGGTGTTGCTTCTTCGACTCTCGAAGCAAGTCTCCTTGCGGGCTAGGGGAGACCTCGGTTGATTCTTTGCCGCATAACCCGTACAACAGCAGAAAGCGGAGACCTCGGTTGATACCCTACAACAGCAGCAACAGCAGCTGGAAACGGCACAAATGCTAGCGCCACCGACAGCAAGACACGGGGCACACCTTGACAGCCTCTTCCACGCCCTTCGCCTTAGCTTCCCTGGCACGAACCTCCTCCCAGCTTCCCTCAAGGTCCTCCTTCAACGACCTCGCTTCAAGGGTAGCCGCCTCCGCTTCTCTAGCGTGGTTTTCGGCATCCTTCCTGGCCTGCTCTAGCATATCTCTAGCGTGGGCCATCTCCTCCTTCTTGCGGGCTAGTTCGGCCTGCGTGTAAAGCGGTTGGTGATATCATAGTCGTAAATGTGGCAGGACTGCTTGGTAGCGTTTGTTGCGGTCATGGTTGTGATTATGGGGGGCGACTGCGCCTGTTGGTGTCGTAAGCCGCCCGCCAGGGGGTACCCTCGGGAGAGAAGCGCAAATTTCAATATTTCTGTTCCGTTTCATTCCCAACGAGATACCTAGCTTTTTGTTGTCACAAGGCTAGAGGATTGCTAGCATTGCAGAGCACTAGTCAATCGTTCTTTCCTGCGCGTCTTTCACAAACGTGTAGCTTCCAGCGTTGATCGTGCAGGGCTTCGGAGTTCGTCAGTGGCGAGCATCAGTAGTTGAACAGTCCACACCAAGCTTGCTCACCAACCGTAAACGACGGTGTGCACCACACGACAACCCACAACATCACTCATCATTCTTACCAAACACCCAGCCCCTAGCCATACCGTTGCAGAACATCCCGCCGAGCAGTGGATATCCGGTGGTTCACAATGATAATATATTGCATGTCGGCGGGGTCGTATTAACACCGGTTGATGGACAACGTCCGGGTTCCCCGGTAGACCCAGATCTTGAAGAGGCCGGGGCCTATGTCGTCTTCGTACCGGTGCGCTTGAACAAAAAAACGCGGCCTCCCCAGTCTTCCAGTGCAAGAGTGAAAAAATACGATTTTCCCCAATATTCGCGGCCAAAAGAATACGATCATGCCTCTGGTATGTAGGTGAAACTTGTCTCAAGTTGTTCACACGTGCCTCATATCCTGCCACTGCTAGAGGCTAACTGCTACACGAAATAGACCAGGGCCGTTCCAAGCGGCTTGAGCCTTCAGAGAGCCGGGAAATTGTAAACTTGGCCCGTCCTAATATCCACTGTACCTCCACTTCGTCAGCCTCCACCTCTCGCTCCCTCAGCCTCGCCTCCGTCGCTGACAAGTCCCGTTCGCGCTCCAAACAAGCCTCGCGAGCCGTGTCCAAACCTTCCCTGTCCGCATCGGCCTCTCGAAGCAGCCTCTTGGCTTCGGCCTCCCTCGTCTGAGGGGGGAAGGCGGCAGCAATGGGTTTCATGGCGAAAGGGGTTGGCGGCCGGTCCGGCATTCTACGAACAAAGTGTGCAATGAAGCCTGTCCGAAAAAAACTATTGAGCCAACGGATGGTGCTTGTGGGAGCTCGGAAAAAGCGGCCTCATCAGCAACTTAGCACCCTCATCATTTGCACCTGGAAAGGTTGGATGAGGGATGTTGGTAAGGCTTGAATTATCCCCTGCAGCTGATCGCTCTCTCTCTCTCACCTCAAGAGCGCGAGTCGTCGAGGCCAGACCCGTCTCTTTCTCTTGAAGCTGGTTGCGAGATGCGTCTAGCTCTGCGAGGTCCACGTCCAAGGCTCGACGTCGCTGTCGGTGACAGATGGGATGGATTCGATGTGGAATAGTTGTTGGGTACGGGCGAGGTATCAAGATAGAGAGACGGATGTTGGGAATGAGGAAAGAAGGGGAGGAGACAGACTATGTCAGACAAAAAAGCAGAGAGAAACAGAGACAAGTAGAGAGAACCAGCGACAAGAGCGCGATAGAGACAGGGGCTACGGGCCAAGCAAGAGACAGAAAAAGAGGCACAGAGTTTGTGAAAGGGAGAGACGGGTGTACTCAAAACGAAAGGAAATATGGGTGCACTGCTGTAGCGACAAACAAGACGATGGCAAGCCGTTTGGGGAGACGAGAAGGCGAGGCATTCGATGAACGTTTATGGTCCATGCAGGACGTCGTTTGGTCCTGTAGGATGGAGTTCCTAAAGTGGACCATGGCGACGCCAACACAGAATTCCTCAGAAAAAAAGCCAAAAAAAGCACACCGCATGGGACCGACCAGCAACAAGGAGAAAAAAATCACTGACCCTGGCGAGGTTGTCCGCTTCATCTCTGAGCTTGTCCCGCTCCCGGCCCAGTACGCTCCTGCCTTGGTCCAGCGACAGACCGACCTCCCTCCCTGTGTCACGAACCGCCTCCTCGCGGGTCTCCAGCTCTCGCCGTACTGCGGCAAGCTCTCTTTCTCCCTCTGGGGGTGACGTCATTGGATTCGAGGGGGGGGGGGGGGGGTCGTGAGGAATGAATTATCGCAATCCGTGCAAAATTTGTGAGCATGAAACTGGAGGTTGGGAGTGGTACTCTGCGGGGTTGGACAAACGCACACTCTTGCGTGTGCTAGAACATGTCGCCGGGTTTCCACCAACAGCCCACTTCATCCACCGTACCACCCTCCGGAAAACCGGCGGTTGGCCCCGTACGCTCGAAACTCGGAACGTATCGGTGTGCGCTGCCATCGCTACGACCAGGAGCCCTATCGCAAGTTTCCTCTCGAGCACCCCTTTGTACTGAGCTTAGGCAATGAACACGACCGTGCGATGCCAACGCTACCAACAGGAACCCTCCCCCAGGTTTCCGCCAAAACACCCCATTTTACAGAGCTTGAGCAATGAGCACGACCGGCACTGCCGTGTCTGAGGGCACAGCAGTAGCGTGACTCGCCTTCTAAGGCCGCTTTCTCTCTCTCCAGCTCTCCCTTCCTCCCCTTAAGGCTCTCCTCCCAGTCTCTCAGGTCCCTCCGCTCACCGTCCAGCTCTCCCCTAACCCTCTCGGCTTCCGAGCGGTTCTGTTGCACCTGTGAGACAATTGACCGGCATCAGCTAACAGAAACCATCTTAACATCTTCCCCTTGCCTATATCATTTGTAATTCCGACTACAGGTAGTGTTTCAAACACCTGTTGGGCATCACTGTCCTCAAACGAGGTAAAGAATCTTGTGACAGGTCTTCCGAGTGATTGACACAAACCTCGACCTAGCATCAGCCACAAATGATCTAAAAAGGGCTTGACTTCGCGATACTGTTGTCTATTCGCGGGCCTGTCGGTAAACTGAACCGCGCCAAGAGCGCCCGGTACAGGTGTTACAAGGTACTGAGCAGAGGCGGGAACGGTTGATAATGTCACGACGACAATAACAACAACAACAGCACCAACAGCAATAGCCCGGCAATGCACAACTACGGAGTGATGGTTGTGGGGGCCTACCCTGGCGGCGAAACTTCGACATCGACATCGGTCAAGATGTTTCTTTCCTTCCTGCCTGCCGTCGTCGTGTCGTTTTACATAATGTACCTTCGCTTCGAGGACCCGGATGTTCTCCTGTCTCGTGTTCAGCTCCGCCTTCCTATCCTCCAGCTGGAGCCTCTGCTGCCGCAGCTCCGCCTTCTCTCCTCCGACCTATGATAGTGACCGGTTGTGTTGCCTTTGTTGTTGTCGCTCTTGTTGTGTTGCTGTAGTCATCGACAGCAGGCAGTAGTGATCGCCAGAAAAGGCACTAGGCGACAGGGGGTCATCAACGGCCTTGTTATCGCGGGCTACCAACAACACCCTTTGTGATCGCGTGCGGTGACTCTGAAGGGCATGAAACACCTCTTGCCCTATACCACCAGGAACCAAGCTACAACAACAAATCCCATCCACTTCCCTGAAGAACAACGTCCGGACTTGCTTCGGATTTCTAATCCGACTCGAAACGGAAGGTATTTACCGAATCAGTCAGTCGCAGGGCTTACCCGTGCGCTGAACCTGTCCAGGTCTCCCCTCGCCCGCTGCACCTCGGCCTTCTCCCCCTCGAGAACATTCCTGGAACGTTCCAGCACCGCTTCTGCCTTCAGGCGGTCGTCCTCGAACGCCTAGGCGCATGTGCAAACCCAACGACACCAAAACAGCAGTCCCGGGCGAATCGGCACGGGACGATATTGGGCACCAGCACAAAGCTAGTGAGAGCTCAGAACACAAAGCAGCCAGCCTAGCTGTGAATTGAACCGCGTCAGGGGGTAGGGGCGTCAGGACGATTACAGAGCGTGGACTGAGGGTGCGTTCTCCGTTCGACAGCAGTGCCCAAACGCGTGCCAGACGCACCAGCATACAGACCTTTGCCGTCAAACAAGAAAACTCGCCGAATGACACAGCAGAATGCGAAAAAACGTTCGAGCTGCTTCGTCTTCCTCTCCCCCTACCCGGGAAGACGCAAAAAGCAACGAATTCCAAGGTAGCTGCAACGCCGCCGAACGTTTTTCATAGCTAAGCCGCTTCGATGTCCCAACTACTGCTGCCCCCAACGAGGGTTGCGTGAAATCTCGTATCCTCCAAACCACGAGCTTTGGGTGTAGGAGTTGCATACCTTCCAAGCTGCTTTGATGTCACCCTTCTCCTTTTCCAATCCCTCGGCGGCAAGCCGCAGCTCCTCTCTCCCGGCGTCCACCTCACGTCTTCCGGCCTCCTGCAGCTCCTCGAGCGCCTTCCGTCTGCCCTCCACTTCCACAGACTCCTCTTCCAAAACCTTGAGAGACAAGAAACATGACCATGCAACGCATCGTTGAACATTTCGTACAACAAATACAAGTGAAGTATCACCAGCTACTCCCTCCGGAACCAAGAAGCGTAGCAATTGATAGAAGTGAAGGAAGACCAGCTACTCCTTCCGGAACCAAGAAGCGTAGCAATTGATAGAAGTGCAGGAACACCAGCTACTCCGTCGGGAACCAAGAAGCGTAGTCCGTCGCATCATTCACTTGTGGCACAAGCAACAAAAATGCGAAGTGTTCCTCTTCCACAGCTTCGCGAAGACAGAACGCACACGACGAGGACGTACCATTCCACACGGCACTCAGGCAGCAGCGTTTCATGCGAGAATCCAGCAGGCAGCAGAATAGGGTGACTGATGGAGGAGGTCAATCGGCATGCTCACGCTGCACAATTGGAACAGGCAAGTTGATTCAGCGCAAACCAAACACAATCTTGAGTGACAAACCCCAAACAATCAATCCAGAACCTTTACCTTCCGAGAAGTTTCCACGACCGCCTTCTCGTGGGTCAGGGCCTGTCCCAGCCCCTCCGCTTTCTCGGCCTCTTCCCGAAGAGATTTTCGTTCTTCCTCTAGCGCGGCCCGTTTACTCTCCGCCTCGGCTAGATCCCGCGAGGCCTTCTCCTGTCATGTAGGGAGATGTTGGGTACGGTGGTGTTTCATGATTGGATTGGTCTTGGTGGTTACGATTGATTGTGCTTTAACCAGAAATTCTCATGCGGAAGATGTTGTTGCGTTTGATTTTACTTTTAAGCAGAAACTCTCATGTACGGAAGATGATGGTGGTATTGTTTGGTTTTTGCTCGAAGCAGAAACTCTCATGTACGTAAAATGCTCGTGGTTACGTTTGATTTTGCTTCAAGCAGAAACTCTCATGTACGGAAAGGAAAATGTGCGTGGTCACGTAATGGAGCATGCCCACGTGGTGGTCCCGGTGTTTCTTTCAGACAGACCCCGGAGGGTTTTGCCCCGACAGTGCGCTTAAAAAAGCTCACACAAACCCTCCACTCAGGCTGCGCCGAACACTTGAAGCTTCATACCCAAAAAAATCTTCCGCACAGGCCGCGAGGACGTGTTGCCCAATAAAGGGCTGCGTCGGGACTGGCGTCAAATTGAGGCCCGCCAACGCTGCATGGACTGTTGCGCTAGGACTGGTGTCAAATTGAGGCTCGCCAATCTGCGCCAAATGGTGCGCTAACACGAAGGCCTGCAAACACTGCATTGACCGTTGCGCTAGGACTGGTGTTACATTGAGCCCACAAACGCTGCATTAAGTGTTGCGCTAGGAGTGGAGCTAAATTGAGGCTCGCCACGCTGCGCTAAATAATGCGCTAGATTGTGTTAAATCGAGGCATTGCAAACGCTGCGCGAAGTGTTGCGCTAGGACTACGCCGGGACTGGCGTTAAGCTGAGGCTCGCCAACGCTAAAAAATGATGGTTACCTTGAGGTGCAAGACTTCCTTGTGTTGACGGGCAACCTGCCGCAGGTCTGCCTCCACCCTGACCCTCGCCTGCTGAACCCTGGCCGCTTCCTCCTGGCAAGACAGTCACGGCGGAAAACAGCCGGTGGCATCGTCAAACCGAAGGGCTCAAAAGTCACCGCGGGATTGCTCCCCACACGTGTCCACCCTTCAAGGTGAATGCAGCATCGACATGCTTGGGATCAGGACACCCAAATCGAACCACCGAGACTGTTCGACCAATGCACCCGAGAGCTCCAAGCACGCAACACAACGCTCCCCTCCTTCCACAACATGTGAAGAATCTTCCAAGTAGCAGGTGGAACTCGCATGATCCCAAGGCAGACTACAAACGCCGGGAGAGGGACGACTAGCCTCCATCCCTTACCAGAGAGGGGACTAATCATCTCCAGTCTCTCCCAGAGAGGGGACGGCTCACCACTAGCCCCTGCTAGAGAGGAGATGACTCATCTCCAGCCCCTCCCAGGGAGGGAACGTATCACCTACATCCGATCCCAGACAGGGGACAAAATCATCTATATCCCCTCTCTCTAGCCCCTAACATATCTCCATCCCCTCCCTGAGAGGGGACGACTCACCTCCAACCCCTCCTTCCCGACCCTCAGCTCCTGCAAACCCCTCTCCATGGACGCCTGAAGCTCGGACGCTCGTCCCCTCGCCTCCGCCTCCCTCTCCCTCAATGCCTCCGAATCGGCGTCCACGCCCCGCAACCGCAGCTGCAGCCAGGCCCCCTCCAGTCGTCGGCGTGGGAGGGACGACAGGCGGGAGAACAGGAACGACGCCGCTGATCTACGGAGATCTTGGTGGGCCTGGGGAATCGAGAAAAGGAGACAATGACGTCACTGAGGAGACCACAGCAGCACAGCGTTAGCCAACATTGGTTGGGCCGCGTTGTGGTGCTCTGCACGGGTGTGGGTCATGGCAAGCGATCGTGATCGCGAGCCGTAGCAGGAAGAGGAACAAAATTGGCTATTGTAGGTGGCCGAACTATTTTATTTCTGTATCATATGGCAGTCGTCGGTTCGGCGGCAACAAAAGCTTGTCCACAACAGGGGCACATGGCGTCCGCTGAGCAGCAACCAGCGCTTGCCCACTAACACCAAGGACAACGGCACGAACGAGAGCATGTGAAACAGCCACTAGCCGCTGGCGACATACCACTGTGCAACATCAGGCTGCGCCACGCACCTTCCGGCCGGCTTCATCGAGCTCTTTTCTCTTGGCATTATGCTCCGCTGCCTTCTCTTTGAGTGCCTCTCGCTGCTCCTGTTTCAGCCTTTCCAGCTCCTCCAAGCGCTCCTCCAGAGCCTAACGACGAAAGAAACAACATGCTATCGTAAAACGCCCATCACATTTTCACATCCTTAGAAGCCGCTCTCGCGACATCCCAGCACGATGATCGCCAAGTCCACAACTCCTCGTCTAGGGGCATCTTAGGTTACTTGTCACCCGTATACATCACACGTCGCTTGATAAAAGCGCCACTCCTGTCGCAGTGTCGTCTCGAAAAAACATGCACACAATCATAGAAAGACTACCCGGACGAGAACATGCCACGAATCGAAGAGAGATGTGTTGTGTTGAAATGTTTCCACTCTGTCTTGGCCTTGAGGAAAACCTGCTGGATAATTCACACACAAAACCAAGTACATTGACTGCAGCTCCAGACCAGAACAGTCGTGGTGAAATAATACAGCGTTGTTCTCATTTCGAGTACGAGACATACGTAGGTTTTGAGCAGACCCTGCTGGACATAGAATTTCCCACAACTACAGTACATCGCCTATAACTCCGGAACAGACCAGTCGTAGCAAAACCGCACCGCGTTGTTCTCATTTTTGAGTGCTATTAGACTAACGTGGAGTCCTACTTATGCCTAGACTTTACGCTGAGAGATCGCGCGGCGTTCTCTGTCAAAAGCGTAGCACCAGCAACACATTCCTCTCTGTTTCCTCACCTCTTCCGCCTCCTTGAGGGAGGCTTCCCGCTCTTCCGACAGTTTCACCCTCGCCCCGGCCTCCGACAACGCCTGCCTTGCGGATGCCTGTTCGCTTCTCAGGCTAGACTCCCATGCCCGCGCCGCTCCCTCGCGCTCGCCCACCAGCCTCTCTCTGCCCCAAACAACGGGTGTCACAACATGAACATATGGCGAATACACATATAAGAACAGCCTCTTCAAAAGAGTTGTGTTTTCCGGGCGTTGGCAGTGAAGAACTGCTGTGTGCCGGGTCTGGACCTATGTACCATCGCTAAATCGTTCACCTCCTGTTGACGTCGTGTTTGGCATCGTCCATCTCAGACAGCTTCACCCTCAGCAAGGACAAGCTCTCCTCCGCTGCCTCAGCTCGCGCCTGAGTAGCAGAGTTAGGTTTCGGGGCAGGGTCAAGGGTACCGTTTGGAATTGGCCATCTCTCACATATTCTTCGCCTCTCGCAGCTATCCTTTACGCCAACAGGTTTGATCACCTCATCGTCGTCTGAGGCCACAGTCTGTAATGTGAAGAATAAGACAACAACAACAACAGCAAACACACTTCAGCTGGACCCTACTGGTGCTAGAACCTGCTGGACAGAGATCAGAACAGTCTGCAATGTGAAGACAACAACGACACAATAACAATAACAACAGCAGCAGCAGCAGCAGCAGCAGCAACAACAACAACAAACCACCTGTAACGATTCGGTGTGGCTGAGTCTCCCCTTGAGTCCCGCTAGCTCTTCCATCGCCGTTCGTAGCCTGACCACGGCATCGCCCCTCTCCGACTCCGCCACCTTGGCTCTCTCGACGCACCTGGCGACAACGACGGCATCGAATATAACGCCCATGCTGCTCTGCTGGTCTCTTCAAACCTTGGTGGTCACGAAGCTGCTGCGTGCCGTTCTTGCGACATTCACTCAATCGAATCCAAAATGCTAGCTTGGGTGATGGTGCACTGTGCTTGATGCCGTCCTCCCTTTTCATATTGTAGTATTTATTATTTTGTTCCAAGACCCGACAACGACGCGAGAAACTCCAAAAATATATCACCCCTTCTCAATGCTAGGGAGAAAATAAGAGAGTCCACAGATTCAACATACTTAGAGCGTGATGATCCTACAGTATTGAGTCGCTAAACCTAAACCACCAACGAGAATCACGAATGTGCGTTTGACTAGACGTTGGGCTAGTCCAAGTCAGACAGGGTCGTTCACGTACTCGTAGGGGCATACTTTTGGAGGGAAGCAGGAGAGGTTGCCCCCAACCCACTTCTACTCTCCGATTGGACCGAGCCAAGAGGCGGAAAACTTGTCCAATGCCGCCTTTATTATTTGCTGACAATGGCGGGGGTGACCACCACCATCTGATTCGTCTTGCACGCCCAACACGGGTTACCGCGAGAAAACCCGTAATCTTTCGCGAAACAAGGAAGCTCTCAGGGGAGAGGAGCACGATAGCAACAAAGACAACGACACCATCAACACCACAAGTCCGTCTCTCTTCTTTTTGCGCACCTATCCCTCTCCGCTGCAGCATCTCTAGCGAGGGATTCTGCCTCCCCTATCCCCTGCCTCAAAGCCATGGCTTGGGTCTCCAAGGCGGAAACGCGATTTCCTGCCTCCTCTCTCTGGGTTTCGAGTCTGTCGATATCTTGCAGCAAAGCGGTCCGCGAAGCGTCTCGTTCATCCTTCAATAACCACGGGACAGAGGTAGGGAGAGAGAGGGGGATAGCGTGTGAGAGAGATATGTAGAGGGTAGGGAGGGAAAGGCAGAGTACGGGGGCGAGAACGGTAAGAAAAATGACCCTTATAGACCCCTACAAATTCCATTTTCGAACTTCTGACAAAATCTAGAACGCGTAGTATTTCGTGAACGTACTTTGAAGATAACAACCTCGATAGATGGCAGGGCAGGGTAGCTTGTTGCAGTTTTCGCCTTGAAGCCTGCTGTGAAACCCCGGCTTCACCGCAGCGGTCGGCGTAATGAATACATGGAATAGGTAACACCTCATGGTCGATACCAATATTTTCGTAGCATACCACAAGATTGTCACGATTCACTCGACCCTTAGCGGTGTGCTTGGTACCAGGCTGAGACGAACTTGAAACGACAGAAACCAACTAGTCTCCACTTCGAGACACAAACCACGTCCAAACATCTTTGGATCAGCGAGCGCATGGCAAGCGGTAGCAGGCCTGTGAGAAGACATCTGTTGTGTCACCTGCACGAAGGCGGCCGCTCCCTCAAGAGCTTTCCGAGAATTTTCCAGCGCGGCCAAGGCCTCGGCCAACTCAGCTTCGCGCTCCTTCAGGTGCCGTTCCTGCTCGGAGAGCCGATCTTCCGACCTGTATTGCAGAACATTTCATTGCAGTGCAACTTCATTGCAAAACAACGTCATTCATTGGCAGGCCAATTGTATTGCACGCGTTGCGCTTGGCAGGACTCAAAACAAACAACAGACATCGTGCCCTCCAATACTAGAACGTCGTGTTTGCTTCGGTGGATAGATACGGAGCGACCATTTCAACGGAGGGGTCAGTCTCCAAAAAACTCGTGCTCCCCGCGCCCCAGCTCCCCGCCGCCCATCCCCTATCGTATATCAAAGTTCCAATATCTGCTGTCTTGGCAAAAATATGCCACCTCAAGAATAGGATCACTTTCACCTACCAACCCTACCCCCGCCCCGCCCACAGGTTTCGTCTGCCAGCCTCTCTTTTCCCTTTGCAGACTTCACAACCAAGATTCGAAAACACACATGCATCATGTCACAAAAACTTCGAATACATCCATCACTTCGAATACAATAGTGTCACTCCCATGCATCATCTCCAAAATACTTAACCTTTCTGATAGCGAATCTCCGTCAGAAAACAAAAACGGCCCTCACCTCGCCAATTCCTGTTCCCGTACAGCTAGTTCGGCCGCCTCCTTCTCCGCCTGTCTATGTCTTCTGTCGAGACCTTTCTTTAACGCGTCCACCTCAGCCGCATCCCCTTCCAGTGACGACAGGGTTTCGCCACACTTGGTAGCGGCTTCCTCAGCCTCCTCCTGAGATACAGGCAATAGTATGTTCAAGATAGAGATAGATTGGCAATGTAATTAACTCGATTGGCTGACTCTTCGCAAGACAACGGTAGGTTACAGATCCAGCCACGCTGACGACAGAATTATTCAATCGATTGATTGAGTCCTCCTGGGATTCGAAATTGACTGCAGATCACGACAGACTCACTCGATGGATGAACTTGTGCGATAGGTTGCAGATCAACACAGGCGGACAACGAAATGCACACGACTGGCTAGACCGACTACTGAGGTATACATGGGGTGATACGTGCAGGTCAAGATCGGCTGGCAAAATATCCACTCGAAATATTTACTCCTGGGATACAGGATACACTGTACGTGAGAAGATAGGTTGCACATCCAGACAGGTTGCCAACAAAATCTTCTCGAAAAAATTACTGGTTGCTCCTGACATTCACTAGCGGGACGATAAGTTGCAGATCAACACAGGCTGACAACGACATTCGCTGGATATTTTTCTCCTGAGATACACACGTGACACGGGCTGGTCGCAGATCAAGACAGACAGCCAATGAAATTCACTCCACTGATGCGGTTTCCCGAAAGTTGCATGCACATTAGATGAAATGTTGCACAACCAAGATAAATCATAGCGAAATCGATTGATTCACTCCTGAGATATATTCGTCAGACAAAACATTGCAGATATAGACAGGTTGACACAGAAGTTCACTCGATTGATTCACTGCGCTGAGAGACGACGTAGGGCGACAGATTGCAGATGAAGACAGAATGCAAGGCCAACAAATTCAATCGATTGACTTACTCCTCCCGAACTTTATACGTGAGATGACGGGTCCGTTCCAGATCAAGACAGGGCGGCAATGAAATTCACTCACCTGAAGTAATTGGTGGAAGTCGCCGTAATTATTTTGGGTCAAAAGGGGGGCGAGATCGTAGAAATTATTGTGAATTAACGACACGTTTGGTTCGTGGCCGGCGGCACGCACAAACGAGATTCGATTCCAGCAGCGCCAAGCAACGACGCCCGCTTGTGAATGCGTGCCAAAATACCTTCGATAATAGGGGGAGGACGTGTGTAACACGTGGTTGAAAGAAAGCAGAGATCGTTAAACAATCAAGGATAAACTCCTTTGGTACGATCAAACACGATCTCCACCTCCGAGGAAAAAAAAAAGGCTGTGAAAAAACGAAAATCTCCTCTCGAGGTGGACGAGGAGAAAAACACAACACACACGAGAACGCTGGGTGCGACAACACCATCGCTCGTCAAGCTTTCAGCGTCATCAATTCACTGAAGGCAAGGGCTGAAATCAGCTGTTGGGGATGACGGCCACGACTGCAGTAGGCTTACCAAGATAATGATGGCCCTCCTGTTTTGGACATTGGTAACATGAAACTTTGGGGTCGGACAAACCTTCGGCTGCGCTCTCAAGGACTTCCTTTCGCTACAGACAATTTTATACCTCTCGCTTGGCGACCTCTTCGAGCCTTTCACGTAGCCGGCTTTCCAATTCCCTAGCAGACTTCTTGGCTGCTTCGCTCTCTTCTACCGCCAAGTCTCTGACGCGAGAAGAGTAGAGGAGGCAAGAGCGATTATTGTTGTTGATGCTGCTGTACAAGATAGATGTGGTTATCAACAGTTGCTGATGCTGATATTTGGCTAACGATAGTTTCGTTTCTCGTCTCTTCCCTGTGCTTTGGTGCGATGCGGTGCGATCACCATCACCAAAAGACTAGCCGAAATGAAATGCGAAAACGCTCGTGTGTTCGTACGTTTTCGTTCTAGAATGCACCCCTCTTGGGTAGTTGGCTTGTGATGTCTGTACCAGTTGGACCAGTACCGACGTTACTGAGCGGAGACCAGAATGGTCCTTGTTGTGAAGACACCGACAACAACATCAACACACCCTGCTGCCAAGAGTTGACATCGAGATTTCAGGGAGACAGCGGAACACTCAGGCCGGATCCGTCACAGCAGTCTTCGCAAGGTTCTTCTATTAAGTCAACATGGTGGATAAAGCATGCAATGGGGGAAGTCGGGATAGGGCTAGGGATTGGAATAGGGTCTGCGTACCCCCCCCCCCCTGTTTTATTTCCACACAACCGTAATTTCTCGCGAAGGCGGTCCATCCGTCAACGAACCTCTCTGCTTCCGCTCGCCTGACGGAGGCGATCGACTCCTTGTTCTGAAGCTTTGCAGTCTTAGCCATTTCCCTGTCGAAACGATCCTTAGCTCTTGACAGGGTATCCCGTTCCCTTCCAAGGGATGCCTCTTTCTCCTGCAACAACGACAGCAAGACGAGTAGTAAGACTTACCAGAAACAGCTTTGCATTGCCTGGAGCAATAGGGTGCGAGACCTGCGGAGCTCGTGCCTTCTCAAAAACGTTCCTCGGAACGTTCTTGCAGCATAAGGAATGTGGAGAATACCCCAAGACTAGTACGCGGGCAGGTTTACGTAAATCTCGGAATGCAAAAAAGTAGAAATTCGCAATGCGTAGTCGGTCTGGCGAGGGCACGAACAAGAGAGACAAAGAGCATCCCAAATTTCATAGGCGATGCTCGAAGCACAGCGAATGTCCTTGGTGCCGTGCCATATTTCACTCGTCTTCTGTGCATCAGGAACCACGTGTGAAGACATGGCACTCAATCGCAAACAGGGGAGCAAAAAAATGATTCCTTCAAGGATGCACAGGAACCTCCTTCGCACTGAGACAACACATCCACCGCGAGTAGCACATCTTGGCAGCTATGTCATCCGGAAAGAAAGTACCATGATACAATATTAGGGGCAGCGGGAAGGACAGCGGTAGTGAACAATCATCCCGCCAAACAGGAGATAAATGGCCACAAAATGCCAAAAAGGACGAGAGAAAACGAACTACTACACACTATTAAAAAAAAACGTGGCACGGTCGAAACGAAAACGATCGCGAGACTGCTCTCATAAGAGAAACAGAAACGGGGCCACTCGCCTCTACAGAAAGAGCGAGGTCAACGATCAACTACTTGAGAGTCAACAGCTGGGTACCCCCCCCAGGCTAACCGTACCTCCAAGGCCCCCCTGACTTCCGAGAAGCCCTTGAGCATCTCCCTGCGCTCAAGCTCCACCGCGTCGCGGGCCGCCCGAGCCTCCGCCTTCGCCCTCTCCGCCTCCAGCCCGAGGGCCTCCACCTGCTCCTCCTCCTCCCTCACGGCCTCCCGGCTCCTCTGCAACTCCCGCTGGTCCTTCGCCAGAGCGATCTTCCCCTCTTCCTCTGCTCGAGACAGGCGCTGCGCTTCTCGCCGAAGCTCTTCCCTCAGCTGCCGCCGCCGCCGGGTCCGCAGAGTGAAGGTTGGTGAGGGGTCCGTGGGGAAAAGGGTAGGTGGCGAGTCCGCGGAGTGAAGGGTAGGTGGGGGGCCCGTGGGTGTGAAGGGTAGGTAGGGGGTCCGCGGAGTGAAGGGTAGGTGGGGGTGGGCCGTGGGTGATTAGACGTGCTTGCGTGTGTCTTTGCTGTCAGCATCGATAGCGCTAATCGGCTGACCAATGTTAAGATACGTCAGTCTTGTACTCCCCTCGGAAGGAGTTTCGGGGATACGTATCACTGCCGTGGGGTAGGTTCTCACGCCGCTGCTGCTGGCCCTACCTAGCCCAGCTCACTCAGTGCGCCGGGAAACTACAACATTCTCCACCCCGCAAGAACGGCCCGTTCTCATCACCGGTAGAGTAAAGTGCTCTAGGCCTTCAGACCCCCAACATTTCCGCCACCTCGTCAAGCCTGCCGTCAAACTCGCGACAATCACTCAGTCGCTGTCGGCCATGCAACGCCGTCCGTCTGCGTCGTCAACCACAGCAGCCCGGCACGGCACCAGCACACTCAAACGCGCGCGTGTTCGATTACAAATCGTCTTTTACGCGGCGAAATGTTCTTGAAGGTTTCACCCCCCCCCCCCCATGCAATTGTGAAATCACGGGGCATCATGGTCTGAAAACAAATGTCGCATACATATTTACGCAGAGAGTGCACTTTCCCTGAGCGGCTTTGAAGCGGGCATAGCGACCGTACCTGGAGGGTCTTTTCGTCCAGCTCGCGGTTAAGACCGTCGAGCCTACGCTCCTCCTGCCTCAGTCTGGCTACCTCCTTGTCGAGCCGCTCCTTCTCCAGCCTCGACTCGTCTTGCACCTTGCTGGAGGCTTCTCGTCGGTCCCGTTGCACCGCCTCCTCACGCTCGGCCATGTCCCGGCGGGCCTGGAATTGCACCACGGGATTATCACGGAATCGACACACAGAATTACCACGGAAGTAAGCGTCGACGCGGGTGACACCGAAACCCCGTATTACGGACACAGAGAGTAGTCGGACGTCGCCATGGGGCAGCAACCTTTCCGTTGAACCTTTCCATCGAAGGGGGTCACTCTTACCCCACACCTTTCGCCTCTATATTTGTCTATTCAAGTCGGGAGAGCTGCCCTCCTACGTGAATAGATAGTTTGCAGGGGCGCCCAACTAGCTCACGAGAGATGTCGACAGACACGGTCTGTAGGTGCACGAACACCACAACTATTACACAGAAGTAGCTCGAACCGTTCCATGGTAAACTTCCAACACGGTATCCGCTCCGTGTCCCACAGACGCGCTTGGCTTCCTTCGTTTCTCGACCTGACTCTCATCGAGTCACGTCAACCTTCTCCTTCGTGTACCTCCTCTTGCCGGGTGTATACATCCGAACCGTTCCAAGAACCAGCCCCCATGCTGCAGCGTCATCATGTCTGCCGTCTACACCGCTCCTACTACATACGAACGGTTCCAACAACCAATCCCCCGTGCTACAGCATCGCCGTGTCTACCGTCAAAAACCGCTCTCACCTTTTCTAGGTCGGCCTCTACAATAGCGAGCGTCTTCTCCTTGACCGACAGCTGCTCCTCCAGCAGCGAGAGGCTTTCCTTTGCCTCGTGCTCGCGTTCCCTCGCCTGCGGCGTGTTCGATCGACCGGGGGCACCGCAAGGAGAAAAACGTCCTGATGCTCGGCCCTCGGTAGTTCAACGAGGAAAGCAGGGTTGTGGTGATACCGTTTTCCGGTGTTTGAAATCCATCACGTCGCGAGAGACGTGATCTTCGTTTGAGGGTTTCGGCACCCGACAACCATCTGAGGGCAATGCCGTACAGCACGCGCTTTAGTGCCAAACAAATTGCAAGCGGTTCGTTGAACACAAAGGGTGGTTGCTGTATCGTCACTCACCGCCCCTGGTTTTCTATAAAACAACGCTAGTATCATCATCAACAGCACCGCCAACAAAGGGACGTGTTGGCACTAAGGTGTCGAATGGCATGCTAGGTTTTGTGCAGAGTTCCCAGAAGGTCCGATGCTCCCTGGGTGGGAAGAGACTTGGAGTCTACGTTGTTTCCACCCAATATCCAAGAACGGAACCTTGCTGAAAAGGAGTTACGGTACAGGCTGAGAGGCATCCAACCGCACAAACAGACGCAGTTGAACACGCACGGATTGCATTCGCCACACCAACAGAGGTAAATGTAGTCTATTCCGTAGTGTTCCGGGATGGGCGACAAACAAGCATCTGCTTTGTAGCAATAATCAGAGTGAGCAGTTTGTCCTTCGGCCGTTACTTTTGGACAGGTTTTTCCCACCTAGATTTAGCGTGAAACGCAACACAAGCGCAACGGTGGAACACCACAGCACACACACCACCAACAACAATCACACTCCGAAAATCCCTCTATCGCGTGTGCACCCCTGGCTTTCCGTACCTCACACGTCACTTGGAGATATCAAGCGCACGTATGCTGCCGCGGCTGCTGGTAGGATTCGCAAGAATACCGTTGGTGCAACACCAACACGAACGGTAACCGTAACCTGTGCATACCTGTCTCTCCATCTCTTCCAGGTGCCTCGACCGCTCACGTACGTCTTCCGCTGCGAGCTCTCTCTTGTCCAGCCCGGCTTGCCACGAGGCCAGCTTTCGTTCCCTCTCAGCTGCGTCCTTCGCTCCCGCCCTTACCAGCAACGTTTCGAGATCGCACAGAGTGAATCGCAAGTCAGACTACCATAAAAGGACGAGACGGCGAGACACCAACGAAAGATTGAAGGGGGGGTGGGGAACGACCCCAGGCGCACCACGGACCTCTACACACCCTCCACACATCGGAGACGGGCAGAGAGGTCAGTAAACAGTGGCAGGTACGGGGGCAGAGAGAGAGAGAGAGAGATAGACAGACAGACAGACAGACAGAGATACTAGAAAAAAGCAAACAGCCATCGCCACAGGACCGAATCCCACACCGACAGGCAGAACGATTAAACCTTGAGTGCTAGGGCGAGGTTACCCGCTTGCAATAGAGCAATCCCCTTCACAGAGTGCAACTCTCGGGGCACACTATTGGGACACCCGGAACTAGACTACGTACGTGACATAGAAGGCAGCAAACACCCGGACCAATTTTCAAATCTCAACGACGGAAGAGGTTGCGCAAATCCAACGACACATTTTGGGGAGTCCTCTCTCGACGAGACGGTCCCAACGCCGCGCGCGACCGCCACTCTTTCTGCTCCGGAGCAATCGAGCCTTGTGGGTGTGATATCTTCCGCCACCTACGGTACAAGTCGGCCGCCCATCAACTCCACCGTCGCACCTCAAGCCGTCCGCCTCAGCGGACAGAGCCACGGCCCCCGCCGCGAGCCGGTCCCGCTCCGACCCCAGCTCCCTCGCGCGGCCCTCCACCCTCAGCTCCGCCGCCTGCACCGCCACCTCCCGCTCCCGCACCGCGGACAGCCGTCTCTCGTGCTCCGCTTGCATCCGCTCCAGCCGCCTCCGCCAGTCGTTGACCTCGGACTCCTTCAGGGAACGGTCGGCGTGGCCCTCATCCCGGTTGTTGCCGCTCTTCCCCCCCTCCTTACCGGCACCGGAGGCGTTCGCCGTCTTAGCGGCGGCGGCGGCGGCGGCGGCGGCGGCTGCGATTTCCTTGCGCTTTTCGTCGAGGGCGGCCAGCTCCTGCTCGAGAGAGGAAATCCGCCGCTTTCCCTGCCGCAGCTCGGCCTCCTGAGCCCGAACCATCTGCAGCAGCCCCGTCTGTTGCTCGGTAAAGACCCCACTCCACAGGTCGCTCTGCCGAGACCAGAACTCCAGGCCTACCGCCACCGCGGGCCCGGAAGATGCAACGGGCACCTCGTCGCCGCCATTTCCTCCTCCAGCAGCAGCAGCAGCAGCAGCAGCAGTAGGAGGAGCACCTACCTGGCCCTCCATGTCTTCCACCATGGCCTGCTCCAGCTCCTTCTCGTGGGCGTTGGCGAGAGCTCTTACCTCCTGGGCAACGAGATAGGTAGGGGGGCGCGATCGATCAACGGAGATAAGCGTATTGATGGGATGATCTGGCGTGCAAAGCGCTCCCGTCGGCTTCGAGAAGCGGGCGGTGGCTGGTGGGGGAGAGGGATAGTGACGGCGTCGCACTTGTCATCTCCTCCACCCCCATCGCATACGACAAAAAATACAGTGCCATGTTTCATATCCCCCCTTCATCAAAATATTCAAGGACTCCGAAATCTTGGAGGAGGTCAGGCTGCGAGGGAGTTTGACAACTATAGCCGCCACATTGGTATTCGCGTTAGGCACGCCAACAACAACTCGCCAAATCAACATCTGAGATGATCTCCCACAACCTGAGCGCCGTCAACAACCATTCCCCAAATCACCATCTGAAAGATCTCCCACACCTGAGCGACGTCAGCAACAACTCGCCAAATCACCATCTGATGCCATCACTCACCTGGGCGAAACCCGTGGGATCTTCGCCTCCGAGCAGCTCGGCCGTTGAGCTGGCGGCGCCGACGCAGGCATTCCTCAGCGCCCCTATCGCGCGAGCGAGCGCCACTCGCAGCTCTCGGCCACCACCACCACCGCCGCGGTCCCTGTTCCTCGCGCTGTCGTCCTTGCCGTTTGCGGGGCGCGGCCCGTGCTCGTGCTGTGCGAGTGCAAGTGAGGCCTTGACGGCCGCGAGGGCTTCGGCCGCCAAGGCTACCGCGCTCTCTGGTGTGATCTGTGGGGCGTTGTCGGCGCTTCCGGTAGCACCGCTGCCGCGTGGAGACGCCGCAGCAGCAGTAGCGGGAGCACCCTCTGCTGCACTGCCCTTGCCGGTCTTGCTGCTTGCTGGCGATGATGTACGGTGTGGCGTAGAAGATGGGCGCTGCAGCTTGGACTGCTGTGGGGCCAGGAGGGAGCCAAGCGTGGCATCGAGCGACACCACGAGGCGCTGGAGGTGTCGCTGCTGGGCAGCGAAGTCGGCGTGCGATGATTGCTCCGGCTGCCGAGCATCCTCCGCAAGCCTCTCGTCTTCAACCATGGGCGTCGTCTGCCGTAATCCCTCCTGTAAAGACACCGGCGTACCGACATGTTTTGGCGTGTTTTGGATGACTCGTAGGATTGTGTGCCGTGCTCATCATTGGAGACAAATGGCTCGTCTGGAGGTGAAGGACAACAGCAGTGCATCGCTAGGGATCGCTGCGTGCGGAGACACTGATTACAGATATTGTAGAGTGTTCCTCTCTGCTTAAGAAGGTACAATTTCAAACTGCCGTTACGGCAAATAGAGACACCCGGCGGAACCGATCCATTTTCAAAAGTCAGCTTGGGAGCACCAAGCTCTGCCAACATACAACCACGCACCAACAACCAACCTCGCACCTCGCTCCTCTTTCCAACCCCTGCAGTATCAACAGCAGCAGTAGATCCTAGCGCTCGCTCTGCTGTCCCGCTACCGCCGATGCTATTTGATGTTCTCGGCTGCTGCTTCGACCGTTGACGTTGGCTCCGCCATCTCAATATTCACATGCCCATGTAGCAGCCAGCCAACAACACAGGCTCTTGGCAGGCAATGAAGCGTGCCCGACACGCGTGTTGGCGTCGTTGGTGCGCGTATCTGGCACCTCTCACTACCCCAGCAGCAGGAGCACTCTAGCTCTGGGGGCGCCGTAGATTGAGTCTGAGACGTTTTTGGGCGCGAATATTTGCAATCCATGGATTATAGAAGAGAACCACAGTCCAAACATCCAGACGGATCGAAACCCCGGGAAACCGCCCGGAGTGTCCCCGAAGAGGTTCTTCTCCCTCTCCTATAAAAGCAGCGATAATCACGGCGGCGGAGAGCCGTCTGAAGGCGGCGACACGCACCCGCACGCTGGGGGAAGACGAGGAGACAACACACAACGATAACTGGTGAGATCCCGTCCCGACAGGCGTCCGTGCATCCTCTGTGTCTGTGCCTCACCCTCACCCTCTCTGTGATGTTTTTTTTGGAAATAAAATAGCAACGGCCGCACCCGCACCAGCGCCATGTGTGTGTTGGTCTGTCTCCTGTGTTGCAGCCTCCCTCATGCTGTCCCACGTGTCGATGCTGCTCTGTACCTGTTGTTGCCGTCGTACGTACGTTGGTGATCATGTGCCTGCACTGGTGTGGTCAGGCCAGGCCAGGCCCTGCCTGTTGTCCTTGCCGTATAGTCCGGAGTCTTTTCTTCTGGCTGCTCGGCTGTATGGTGGTGCTACAGCAGTGCTGGGCTGGTAGAGGTGCAGGCATTGTGCACGCACTTGCCCAACCCCATTAACTTCATGTGTCTACCCTCCATGTTCGCGTCGTGGGACCCGTGGCCTGCCGTGCGGTAGTGTCATTGCTAGGAATGCTTCCATCCAGTGCTGCTCTGTCGGCCTCTTACGGTGCTCGTCATGCTGGCGCTGCGGGAGCCTTTGCGGGCTACCCTGTACAAGCCCACCCCGTACAGCAACAACAGCAGCAGATATTGACCACCAGCCCTCCGCCGGAAACGCAGGCGAGACGGGTTGATGTTTGACAAGTGCGGTTCGACGTGACACCGGCAATGTTTGTTCCGTGGGTGTAGCACGCCAGTGGATTGTCGCTGCTGTGCTGTACCTCGTGCCTTTCAACGCGTGCACGTACGGTTCGCTGTTTTCGTGTACTCAGCGGTGGACGGCGAAACGTTTCATTTGTCTTGTCTTGTGATCAAACGTTGACATGGTGTCCTTCCATTCCGCCGCGTGGTGGGTTTCGCGTGCGGTTGCAGGCCATGCTTTCACCTCGCACTGGTCTGCCGTTGGGAACTCCGGCCCCTGTGGGTGCTCCCGATGCTGGGGCCGCCGGAGGTTTTGCGGGCTACCCTGTACAAGCCCACCCCGTACAGCAACAACAGCAGCAGACATTGACCACCAGCCCCCCGCCGGAAACGCAGGCGAGACGGGTTGGTGCTTGACACGTGCCGTTCGGCGTGACACCCACAATGTTTTTTTGTGTGCTTTACTTGATGTTGCTGCTGCTGTTCCCCTTGGCCCCATGAAAAGAGCACCGGTATCTGGCATTCCCCCGGTCCACATCAAGGCTCCCTGTAGAGGCCCTGCCATTGTTTCCGTGGGTGTAGCACGCCAATTGATTGTCCCTGCTGTGCTGCACCTCGTGCCTTTCAACGCGTGCACGTTCGGTTCGCTGTTTTCGTGTACTCAGCGGTGGACGGCGAAACGTTTCATTTGTCTTGTCTTGTGAATCAAATATGGGGCAAGGAAGATTGAACTCGTTGGAGTAGGTCTACAGTGGCTCCCGTCGTATCCCACGGTTTGTCCATGGTTGGTAGTTCATGATGCCGCATGACGAACGGCCCTTGAAGCGTGGTACTGCTGTCGCCTCCACATTGTTACCCTGTTTGTCTGTGACACGCCACTTATTTTTGTGCTCCCGGCTCTCCCATACGGCGCAGGTCATGGGATGAAGCCAAAAGAGGTGACGAAAGCAATGAAGGCGTTGCACGAGGACAGCGACATCGACATCAACAAGCGCGCGGTGCAGAACGCAGCTGCCATTGTGCACGGGGCGGAGAAGCCGAGAGATGCTGCCGATGCGTACGAAGAGGTGTGTCCATGTGTCCGTTGAGACTGTTGCCTCTCTTGTTTGTGTGTGGGATGTTGGGTTTTGCTCAAGGCGGTATCCGGGCGACAAGACACATACGATCGCAGGTGACAACCGGGAGAATATATGCCCCATGACACCAAACCAAGAAATGTTGGAGGTAAAAAATGTGTGCCGTGCCGTCGTCGTGGTTTTGCGCTGATGCCCTCGATGTTTCCGGGCGCTTAACATGTTGCAATTTCAGGTCATGGCCGCGACGGCCGACGGCGGAGTGTGCGAGATCAAGATGGATGACAGCGGCCGCCTGACGCACATCTGGTGGCAAACGAGAGAGCAGGTAGGTCGCCGGTCGTTGTGCCCCATACGAATATTCCCCAGCCGGAAGGTTTGCTTTCATTTTAGCATCTCGCACGTACCGCTTCGCCGTCCGCAAATGTAGGACGTCTGACCGAAAGCACGCCGTAGGCAAGGGTGGGGGTGCGTTGTGACGCGTCCAACACACGTCACACCCACAATTAAGTGCTCTCGATCCCCTTCGACGTCATGCTCCGAATACGCAGGTGGCGCTTTGGAATCGGTACGGTCACGTTGCGCTCTACGACGACACCGCTGTCAAGAACAGATACCGTATGCCTCTCGGTGTGCTCGCTGTCGTCGATTCGGAGTATCGGACGCGGATCGTCGGCCAAAGCATAACGGCCGACACCACAACGGACACTTTCCTGTGGATGTTGAAGAGTGCGTTGGAGTCTCGCGGGAAGCAGCCGGATACCTTCATCCAGGACGCGGACGCGGCGATGACGGCGGCGGTGCGAGAGGTGTTCCCGGACGCGCTGGCGAGGCGCAATTTATGGCACCTCAACCAGAACGTTATCAAGGCCCTCGCTAAAGTCCTTGGTGGGTACATGAAGGTGCGCTCTACTGTGTGTGTTGGCGTGGTTAGTCTGGCCTCTCGTATTGTCCTGGTCGCGCGACGTACGCTGCCCACTCTAGCCCCCCTCCCCCACTCCCGCTTGTATCCCCTGTGCGAGTTGGTGCGTTGTCATGGATCAGTGTCGCCTACTTGGAAGAGTGATATCCAGCGTCTCTGCGTAGACCGTGATGCGGAGACGACCTCGGCTTCGACGGAAACATACCTCACGACGTCCAGTGCACACAGAAAAAGCAGCAGCAGCAGCAGCAGGTTGTAAGCACCAATGGTATGTCGCTGAGTTTTTTCAACCCTCTCCTCGTCTCGCCTTAGCGCTAACGAAGTGTACGGGGTTGTTGGTGGCAGTCAATCGTACAGACCGGTAGCCCATATCGCAAAGGCCCCAACTCACGCAACACCCACCCGGCCCACGTCGTTTGTGTTTTCCGCAGCCTTTCATGGACGAGTTCAGGTGTGTGCGTCAGCAGCTGTCATTGGCGAAGTTCGAACGGAAGTTCAACGCCCTCATCGAAAAGTACCC